AGTAGCAAGAAGATTATTTCCATGCATTGGCATCTCACTAGTAGCCCAAGTTGATACATTGACATCGCACATCCAATTTTCCTGTCCCTATTTGAGCAACTTGATGGTGCAAAAACATGACTGGAAAAACAGAGCAGATAACTGGTGACTTGTCTATCTCCATTAGTGTATATTTCATCTCATGGCTTGCCTGTCACAGCCATCTAGCATCTCCTTCCATGGAGCTGCCTCTTCTACACAAGCTATCTCCATTGTCAATGGCCATGCTCATCATTGGTTTTTCAGCAACGTAATTTGACATCGACAAAGCATCAATCCCACAATACCATATGATTGTTCTCTGTTCTCAGCCCAATTCAGTCATGACTTCAGATATTCAAACGTGTATCTTGGAGCTGATGACAGCCAGGACTTGCATGCTTGCGCTGGTCATTTTGCGTTGAAGGATGGCCAGGCATCTTGCATATGCAAACGGGGGTTTTAGTGCTGCTGTGGAACCAGGCATTCTTCTGTGTTTTTAGCTTGGTTTTTACCACACACTGTCTTTGTACTGTAGTGCAGTCAGAGATCCTCTGTGGTGTAGTTTGTGTCTTAATACAGAAGGAGAGGCATGTAGTTTGTGATAGTGGGGAGCACTGAACAGTAAATATATTCTCGTTGAGTGAGTGGACATATTGCTCAGCCAATTCTAGTCCATGTGAATTGGCCACAGTATGGTTTTTATGCAATCCCTGCTCTTTCAATCTTGGGACTGAGCCATAGTCAATCATTTGAGGTCAGGTGCAAGCAGTCTGGAGATTATGGGCTTAATCTTATATTCTTTTAGCTAAGTGACAGTTTCATTGAATTTCATGGAGGGATTCTCTCCACAATGTTTCTCATCACCTCTTGCCAGATTTGACTCATTTAACTATGTACTTCTGCCCTATGTTGAGCCTGTTGTTTGATTCTAGCCCCATTCTAACAGTTGCTGCACCCAGAACAACCACTGCTAGGATATCCCTGAATAAACTACTATCCCTAGTGCCCGTGCCACCTTTTAAAAGGCCTACACTTAGATAACCCTGTTAGACTGGAGCTGCCTGCACAGTTCCTTACATTTATCCCTGACATGGCAGACAGTGAAAAAACTTTTGGTGCCCTGTTTTACATGTAGGGACCTGGAGGTCCTGCTGGACAGGGTTGTATGAAGGCCAGAAATCATCTACCCTCAGAACCAGGAGTGGATGCCACAGCACCAGCCTGGTATGAAGTTGCCACCTCAGTGAGTGTAAACTCAGCTGTCTGCAGGAGTGCATAATGATGTAGGAAGAAGCACTGTAGGAATGTCCTTGCTGCAGCATTACGATGATGGTCACTGAGGTTCCCTGAAGTGCATCATTGAGGTGCTGAATCATACAGTAAGTAGATCAGAGATGTGCTATGAGGGTTCTTGGAGGCCAGCACAGTTCAGATGCCAATGTCCATGTGGCTAGTGCCCATAGACCGTGTTCTGAGATGTTGGTAACTGGTGTCCAACATGAAAGTCCTTTTGAGCAAGTGATGAACTGAAGCTGTCAGGAACAGTGTTATCATTCTTCCGGTCCGAGAGACTTTAACTCACTCAATTCCTTGTTTATTTTGCTATCTGACCATCTTCTGAACCATCTGATAACAATCCCCTTAATTCCATTTGTCATTTTGTTCTTAAGACCTTGCATGGTTACCTACTAAATGTTTTTGGAAGATCCATTTAAGTTATATTCGCAAATCTCCCACTTATCTATCCTTTGTGGAATATCTTAAAGAATTCAAAGATTGGTTAAGAATAATGTGGCTTTTTGGAATTCATGCTTACCGATTCTACATAGTACTCAGTACTTTCAGCTGATATTAAATATGCTTGTACTTTGCCAAGAACTGAGATGGGAATAACTGGCCTGTAAAGCACTATTCTATCCTCCTTCACAGCCAGTGAAGAGTATCATGCACAAGATGTGCATCCTGTCACATTGCAGGCATGCACTCTGATTTATTATCCATTACTTTTTAATGTATGTCTGTAATGTGTTCCCAATGACAGCCGCTCACTGGTGGGAATAAATGCAATCAAAAAGATAGAAAGAGGCTTATAGCTTTCTGCGCTGTTGTTGATTTCCTTTTTTGAAAAGGAAAACTTATTTGCTTCCTGCTATTCCATTGGAATGGTTTTCGTGCTACAGAATATAGAAAACTTGACAGAATCTTCTGCAGTTTCTTTTCTGGCTTGCTACAGGATCCTAAAATTGACCAACATGCTCTTGTAATTATTTAATCTTCCATTTGGATATCAATCAAACATTTTTTCTTTGAATAATAACCTTCATTAACCGATCCAACCTCACCTTCTCTATATTTAGAATTATAATCCAGCCAATCAAACTGCTTGCAAACAGGATCACCCTTGGAGGTGGGGACAGTGCTAGAAGGTTAGTCATTCCAGGGTGCTCTGTTGCAGGTAAAGTCACCACCATTGCAGAGGTTTAAATTAGGAATGGGATAAGCTGTTTACACTTTCCACCAATAATAATTTCAGTTTGGAACAAAAGTGCCTATCAGCTAATTCTTAGAACAAGGAGGATGATGAGCTGATGAAAATCAAGCTAATCAAATTAGCGTCAATGTAATTACAACTTGTTATTTCTAAGTGCCTGATTGAAAGGTTTATCATGTATGATCATGCTACTTTACTGAAAACTGTCCACTGATGCTGCACACAGTAGTTTAAAGGAGAACTGGCCAAATGCCAGCTTCTCTTGATCAAGATGTAACCTAGAATAGCAGCATTTAATTGTGGCTACGATTAGTAGATCGTCAGTGTTCCATCAGCTATTATAGACTTGCAAAGTTAATTTAAACCTGTTAAGACAATTTTATAAATTTTACTTTGTACATGCATTTGCTACACATTTACTGGTGTAAGCATGAAATAATCTAGAAAAAAAGACAGTTCAAAAGAATCTGCAGCATATACTCCATTTAAATTCTTGTGATGCAGTCACAGTGTTCCTAACGCTGGGCCAGAAGTTCAAGTTGCACCTTCCCCAGAGGTGTTCCATAACTTGTCTGAATAGGTTGACTAAAAAAAATCTATACTCTCAATTCATTTGCCAACAAAGTGGATTTGATTCAACAAATGGTAAATAATAAATAATAAAATGAGTATGTTCCTTTGCATGGAGAAGTAATGAGCAATTTAACACCTAATTGTGGTGATCAGCCTCTGCATGAGGTACATGGGAACAGGAGTAGGCCATTCAGCCTGTCAAGCCTATCGGACCACTCATTACAATCATAACTGATCAAATACTTCAATGCCATTACCCACGCAATCCCCAAAGCATTGTATGCCACTGGTAATGAGAAATCTATCCATTTCTATCTTAAACATACTCAAAATTCGACGCTCCACAGCCCTCTGTAGTTGAAAATTCCAAAGGTTCACAACCTTCTGAGTTAACAAAAAAGCCTTTCATCTCAGAACTAAGTCGCACTCCCCTCACCCCCCCTTTCTAAATTATACCCTGAGATTCTAGAACCCCCAACCACCTTGCCTGCATCTACCTTATTTATCCCTTTTAAATATTTTGTAGGTTCCAATGATACACCTCCCAAACACACTCTCTATAGGACAGTTCCACCATCCAAGGAAAAAATCTTGTGAATATTTATTGCACTCTGTGCGGCAATAAAATCCTTCCGAGATAGAGTCCAAAACTGCACACAGTACTCCAGGTGTGGTTTAACCAAGCTTCCATACAATTGAAGCACAACATCCCTACTCCTCCTGTATGAACATCGTCATAATTAAAGCTAACGTTTCATTTAACCTTCCTAATGGCTCGCTGCACCTGCCTTCAGTGACTTATGAATAAGATCACCCAGTTCTCTTTTGTACATCTACACTTTCCAACCTCTTACCAGTTTAAAAAATACTCTGCACATTTGTTCCTTATGCCAAAGTGGATAACCTCACCACATTTTTTCATGTTATAGTTCATCTGCTGTGTTTTCATCCATTTACTAAACCTTTTTAAATCCTCCTGAGCTGCTTTACATCTTCCTCAAAGCACACATGCCCACTCAGCTTTCTTTCATCAATGACTGTGGTCCTCGTATTGATCCTTGTGGTACCCCATTAGTCATATCCTGCCCACAAGTAAAATCTATTTATTACCCTGAGAAGAAGTATGGCCTTACTATGAAAATTTAACAAACTGCATCTTGAAAAAGGGAGGGAAAAAGTTTAAAAAAAGACACAACCACAAATTGAATGCCCTAATCTCACTTTAAAGATTGGAAATACTGACCAAACCTGCTCACCAATCAATTGCTTTCCCTGTACTTATGACATCACTACCATTGGTGTCGGTACAGGTGGGCCTGTCAATTCACACCCTATTTCCCTCATGTTCACATCTTCTGAAGATGCAAAATACTGCAGATGGTGGAATTTGTACTGAAAAGAAAAAATTCTGGAAATTGCAGTGGGTCAATCAGCATCCATGGAGAGAGAATTGAGTCTGGATGACTCTTCATTACAGCTGATGAAAAGAGTCACCTCGACTCGAAACGTTAGGTTGCTGTCTCCGTGGATGCTGCCTGACTCACTGTCATTTCCGGCATTTTTTTGTTTTCGGTGTCTCTCTCTCTCTGAAGACTTTATTTCGTGGAAGAACTATTTATATTTAATTAAAGTACCTCTTTCCTCCTTTGACCCGAATTTTACTTTGAGCCAAATTCCGCATTACTTAATCTCCCTCACTCTGACTGTTTTGGCTTACTCTATCACTGGGAGTCTGGCAGATTGTTGATACTGTCAGTGAAACAGAACCTTTTTTATGTGTCAAATACAACCGCTTCAGAGTTGATTGAGAACAGATGGAATTCCTCCCCTCCAATGGCATTGTGGGTCTACTGAAAAAAAGCACAAAGGCTTCAGTGGTTCAAAAAGGCAGCTCATTACCACCTTGTCAGTGGTAACTAAGGTCAGGAAATAAGTACTGGTCGTGTCCTACAAGTGAAAAAAAAATGATGCTCATTGGACTTTGTATACAGAGCTCCCTCCACTTCCCTAGTGGGCAGTGCTTATAATTTGTTAATTTACGTCGAGACACACATGGTTTGGTAGTGGTTTTACAAAAGAAAAAGAGCTGGATTCTACGCTCTCAATGCCTTTAGGGAGAAGTGGGCACTGAGAGGGCTGGGGTGCAGTAATTACCCTTCCAATTCCATTTTGATTTATCTGCTCCCTTTTTCCTTGCCTTCCCTCTATTGTTGCACTGCCTCTAGTTTGCAGTGCTTGTTGATTTTAAAAATAAAATAGCTGTGTTCTCCGAATTCTTATTGTGCAATGGTAGGGCCAGAAGGTCTGGGTTTGAGTCCCAACTACCATAGAGGTATGTAATAACACGTTTAAAGAGGTTGATTTAAAAAAAAACACGAAGCTGGTCTCTTCCCAGTGGAGGGCTCTCGATGAGGGTGTTCTCTCTCTCTCTTTCTGTTGGGACCTAAATAAAAACCAAAAGAACTGCAGATGCTGTTAATCAAAAACAAAAGCAAAAGTTGCTGGAAAAGCTCGGCAGGTCTGGCAGCGTCTGTGAAGAGAAGTCCGAGTTAACGTCTTGGGCCCGGACCTGAAACGTTAACGCTGACTGAAAAGTTGAAAGTTTTGCTGGTTTCAGTGACAGTGTTTGTGTGCATTCTTCTGTATGTATGTATATGTGAACACAGGTCTGGTGTCACCAATGTGAAATACAGAACTTGAAAATTAAATTCACTGATTCCATGCAAATGACTAGATTGACTTCATTTTAGAACTGTTTAACTGGCTGCAAGCAGTCTCTGACAGTGATGTTGCGAAAGGCACTATAAAATGCAGCTCCTTTTTTTTTTGCTTTTTTTCCTTTGGATCTTGGTTGAAATGGCTAGCATATTCTACAAAATGGTATCTGTAAGAAAAATATGTAATTGAGTTACAATGTTACATAGTAATTTTTGCACAATTTCCTGCAAAATAAGTTCATTATTTTATGTAACTGTGGGAAAATAATCTCTTGTTAAAATGATACTTCATAAGATTCTTAACTTTTATGTTTTCTCTCTTTTTTTTCAGGAATACAGTGCATCGTGTTTGTTTCTGAATCTGATAATTGATGACCACTCCTCAAATTTCTGGCTCAATTGGATCTATTTCAGTGGCAACAAGAAGGCTAATAACCTCTTTTTCAGGAATCAGCTAACCAGTTCCCTTATCTCAGGAGAATTTCTACTCACTGATGCAAAACAGAAATACAACAATAAACTGAAAGAACTGCAATAAACGCTGCAAAGAGACGTTTGCTAAGTTTAAAAATTCACACATGAAAACCATAAACCTCAACAATGTTTTTAAAATATGCAGCAAGAAATAAGTAAACACACTTCATCTCCACAGATGTTGTTTGACATGCTTTATGGGAGATTCCTGCCTTTTTTGCGCTTTGAAAGAGGTTTCCAAATAATTGCATAGTCAATATTGAACAGCACAGCTACTTCAAGATTAGTATTTTTCTGGCAATCTGATGTCAGAAATGATTATTCAGTAGGAAATGGCGTGTAAAAGAAACCTCTATTTTTGGTCTGAACATTTGTCTTTACTTTTGTTTCTATCTAGCCTTCACTGGCTTGACCCAGTTATCGGGAAGCCAAAGGCAACTTCGCGTCCCCACGTAAATTCCATAAGAATTGATGGGGATATTGCTCTGGGAGGACTTTTTCCCGTGCATTCTCGGGGTGGATCTGGTGCTAACTGTGGAGAACTGAAAAAAGAGAAGGGAATACACAGGTTGGAAGCAATGCTATTTGCCTTAGATAGGATCAACAATGATCAAGAACTACTTCCCAATATCACGCTGGGAGCTCGAATCCTAGACACCTGCTCCAGAGACACCCATGCCTTGGAGCAATCATTGACATTCGTGCAAGCTTTGATCGAGAAAGACAGCACCGATGTAAAGTGCATGAGTGGAGGACCACCGATCATTACCAAGCCAGAACGAGTGGTCGCAGTTATTGGTGCTTCAGCAAGTTCCGTATCCATAATGGTTGCCAACATTTTACGCCTCTTTAAGGTAAGCCTTCCATATGAAATGGTAGTATTAATTTGGTTATTTTAACTGTAGGGTGTAGTTTCTGTGTTTGCAGTTTAAGGATCAACTTAGACTTAATTCAGAAAATGACATTTGACATGAAACGATCAAGACCTTTTATTTATGATTTACCTGTGTGTATGGTACAAGATTGCAGATCAAATGGGAAGAATTTTTGAAGTATACACAGCTTAAAATAACCAGCTACCACTGCCTTTCAGCTGTCGTGATTGAAAATGTTTTAATTATTTACATATGGAGCTGCTAAACTCACGTGAAACTAATGGAAAATGCTAATAGTAGAATAGACAATTTGGCCTTCATTTCATCCATTCAGTTGATTTGGTAACACTAAAATTGACTTGTGAGCATGTTTAATGTGATTGAATCTGAGTATTGAAAGAATATTGAAGAAGATTCATTGATCTAGTCATTCTATGGAGTCCTTTTGCTGAACTCGTGCAAAGTTTTGCAGTGCCAACCACAAATTACTAGGTCAAAAACATTGATTGTGTAATGCTCTGAATTAGAACCAACATTCATCTTGTCACTAATAGAGTTTGTTTCAGATGCAACTATATCGAATGGAAGCAGACTGTAGTTGTGTGATAGTTCTGCCACTTGATAGATATCTGTAAAATCAAGATGGCAATTAGTTTTGTGAGAGTTAATTAACCTGACCTCAGCACTCTCATTTCTTCTGTCTACTGCACTCTACTAGGAGGCGACAGACTTTTGGGAAGAACCCATTGTTTCATAAAGTGGAGTGTACATTCTACTTTCTTGGATTGTTTATCATAAGTAAAGAAAATGCCAAGAGGTTGAAATTTGAATTAATTGTTGGTATATACTACAAAATAATAACTGTCCATTTTGATTTTTTTAATTAATATTAGTTTTGACTTGGGAACACGGTATATCAGCAGCACAGTGATGTAGACAAAGTTTCTCCATATATTTCAATAAATATAACCTACAGTCCCATGGACAATAAATGATTAACTATTGAAATATTATAATGGAAAGAAAGTTTGATGTTACGTCTTTGAGGATAATTAAGTGACTACAGTATATGTCAGAAAAGAAGGAGGGAAGTATGGTTCTAAAAGCTTGTTGCTGCAATTAAATATTTTTTTAAAAAAAGTGAGAACAGGGGACTTGTGTTTTTTTAATCTATACCTTGTGTTGAAGATCATACAAAGAAAAGATTGGAAACATGGAACTGTAGCTTTTAAGACAATCCAGTTCCATGTGGTCAGCCCAAGCTAAATTTTCATTCGTTTATTTGATGAAGATGTGTTTAAAAAATACAGTTTCATATTTTAACCATGCAAATTGTCTGAAATCTCAATAGTAATAGCAATACAACAAAAGATGAATGGAAAAATTTAATGTTTTCAGTTGCAGTTACTTGTTGCATCTTCTGTGGCTCCAAGGCCACATTGATGGATGGAATCTTATGGTCTTGGTTGCCTGCTGGAGAGCTGGTGAAAACACCCTTATTAACTCAATTAAAGAAGCCATACTACATCTTGTTCCAATCAGGCACTTGGCAGGCCGGTAGTTGGGTTTCCCAAGGATCAAGTACCCTAGGGATGAGTGATGAGTGCCCACGTCTCGTCAATAACTACTGGTCAATGAGAGGCCATCAGCTCTATTTAACAGCAGTGACACCAGACAGAAAATGGCTGCAAAGTCCACCCAAAGCTTACAAATGTCACTGCATCTCAGATGTCAATGATGGCGGGATGGCTGTCATGATGGTGGGGTTTGCTAGCAATAGTGGGATGTCACACTGAACAGCCAGTGCCTTCCTGAAGCTTGGTACATCGATCAGGCATTAAGCACCTTTTGAATATGCACCAAGTTGGCAACCTTGCACTGGCTTGTTTATTATTCTATTGCATGGTGATTTCCCCCTCACCTGGATCATCACTGGGTTAATAGCTGCAGCAATGGGATGAGGCCGTTGAATGGGAATTAATTTCCTGCACAAACGCCTTGATTTTCTGCAAAGCAGAAGGCAATCACAAGCCTACCTACCAAGAAGATGGAGATCAAACGTCCATGGTTTAGGTTTGTGTAAGTAATATTCACTTTTCAAGATATGGATTAAACACCTGCAAACCATGGCAATGTATGTCAAAAGGCTAGTTAGAAAATAGCACACATTGGTTTAATCATAGTCCAATCCAAAAGAACGTGTTGTTGATTTGCTGCCTGTGTTATTTATTGGAATGTAAAAACAAACACTAGATGTATTACCAGAAATTGATCAGGGCAGAGGCAGGAAGGTGGTATGGTTTCTCAATATGCATTTTTGGCTGAGAGCCCTGACATCAATTTGTCTTCATGTGTTGAAACTCCTGATTGCCAGGGGAGTCATCATTTGATCTGGCTCTCTGATCTCTGCTGTCAATAACACAATGTATATTTACACATGATTTAAGAAGTTTCAGGTTATTACAGTTTCTGTTTTTGATACTTTAAAGGGTAACAATGATTGAGACTTTTAGTTCCCTGTAGTAGATTTTTTTAACATAATGAAAAGCTAAGAATGAATGAATGAATGATTGATTTTGTTTGTTTTTGTTGTTAGTCTTTCATAACACACCCAATTATCACCAAAGAGATTCATTGGTTGACATAGAAGCATGAGAAGCTGTTGGGTAATGGAGCATAGTCTGGCATTGCAGCATGTAAGGCCTTTGGAGTGGATGGAGTTACATACACTGGTATAGAGGGCAGGGGGGTGGGGTCAGGGGTGATGCATGGTGGGCTGCATAACCTGGAATTTGGGCCAAGTAAAAAAAATTCTTGTGAACTGAACTTTCAAAAGGTTTGTTCATTAAATGTCAGAGGTGCCACGAAGTCTGATTTCTTGAAAACTGTGACCTGACCATGGAAGATGTGGAGGACTAGGACATATTTGTCCCCACAATGGAATGCTGTGTGGGCTGATGACCAGTTGCAGCTAGCACTCTTAAAAGTCCCTCCTGAAAGTTGGAAATCCTGGAAACAGAGTCAGGAATTTGGAATTGGGACTACTCCAGCAGCAATACAGCAAGTATGAGCAGGGGCAATATGGGGGAGGATGGGAGATGGATACACAATACGAGGTAATGGCCAGTCAAGTTCTTCAGAGAACAAATCTTCAGCTCCAACATGGTGAGGAACAGTTTGGGTGTCAACTCTGCAGTCACGATAGCTGTCCCGAATAGGTGATTTGTGGCAATGAGTTTTCATGCATCTGGCTCTGTCCAGGCTGGATGAGGCAAGAATTCCAGTGACAGCAAGCTGAGCTCACATGCTCTCGTTCTGACATTCCACTGCAGCATGGAGACGTTTGGTAGCTTCTGCTTGTTTTGTAATGGAAGCTGAGTTATCAATCATTAACTTTGCAGCATGGTCAGGCCTGCAGGTATTTTAAGAATTGCAAATCACCACACACAAAAGAATAGGCTCCAAGCTTTTTACAAAACCCTCATCAATTTAGTGTCAGATTCCCGTGTGCACCCTGACAGTTACGACATGTTATCAGATGTGCCAGCCAAAGGCCTAAGTGTTTCATTATGAATGTCAGCAGGCTTTATCTGTAAGCTTTACCATCAAAGTGGTCATCTGAGTCCTCTGCTGAAGAACCCTTTGAGTTGCATCTGTGATACTCTGCATGCTGTTGTGGCTGCAGGCCACTCCTTCCCAATGTCAACCATGTGCAGAGATCCCAAATCTAGCATTACACATCTATCAAAAGGCATAGTAACACCTACACTGCCTCAGAGCAGTGAGCAATAACCATACCAGCAGACCAGAGTCGACTTTGATTCTGTCACTTTATAGCTCCTTATAAACTCCACCAAATAAAAACCAAAAGAACTGCAGATGCTGTAAATCAGAAACAAAAACGGAAGTTGCTGGAAAAGCTCAGCAGTCCTGGTATCATCTGTGAAGAAAAATCTGAGTTAACGTTTCATGTCCAGTGACTCTTCCTCAGAACTCTACCATGCTGGCTAGTAGGTGACATAAGCAGATGGTAAAAACAGATCTTCTCCAGCTTCTTAAGACAGCCCTACAGCAAGCAGACATTACAAAAGAGCAAGTAGACAGCACTCTAATAAGAACCAAGTCAAGCCAAGCAGCAGGCATTAATTGGAATTAATGTACAACATCGCATTGCAGGGGAGGAAGTGGCCAGCAAAACTGTTTATCTACATCCGCATGAGCAGCACCATTCCAAACAGCTGACAACAATCCAAGATACTGGCTGCCAGCTTCACTGGCTTGTCCCATCATCCTGCTTTCAATAACTATGGTGCTGGAATATCTCCTGATAAACAGACTGAATCCCTAGAAACAACAATGGCCTCACCGTCCCCCGCAGACAGGTTTAACACTGACAATAACCTCCTGTATTAAGGCCAGTTTCCAGAAAGACCTGAAGACAGGAATGTGCTTTTGTGGACTATCCTGTGCCTGTGGTGCAGTGCGGCTCATGGGCATGCTGCTGAAATTCTCCAAATTAATCTGCTGTGTAAAAACCCGGAAACCAATCTGCTTCATGATCGCCAATTAACAATTCCACGTGCAGCTTTAGTTACCCTTCAGGTCCTTTTTTTTGACAATCTCTCCCCTCTCCCCTTAAATCTATGCCTTCTAGTTCTGGGCTACCCCACCCTAGGAAAAAACACGTTGGCCATGCACCCTATCCATGTCCCTCATGAGGGTTGTTTCTGTTGAGACCAGCACAGCTCATGTAGTTTCTTGTGTGAGCACATTTGTGTGCTTTTGAAATGTACAGGAAAAACCTCATCCATGGGAAATGTTGAGATAACAAGGCGTAGAGCTGGATGAACACAGCAGGCCAAGCAGCATCAGAGGAGCAGGAAAGCTGATGTTTCGGGCCTAGACCCTTCTTCAGAAATGGGGGAGGGGAAGGGGATTCTGAAATAAATAGGGAGAGAGGGGGAGGTGGATAGAAGATG